GTTTAGGGTCTGACATGTGAATATCACAATCTGATAACAATTACCAAGAAAATACCAACCTAAAGGACAGTGACACACCCTCCCTCTGTTTACAAATGTCATGGTCATATGAGATACTAGTCAAACACATCAGCAGACTAAAAATAAACCACAATAGGATATGTTAATAAATATTTATTTCAAAACAGTATAGCTTTTTACATGACTAATGTTAATGTGATTTCAGGCTGAGAAGAAAACAGTTAGTGTTGATTGCATGCTAACTGCATTCAGAGGAGCAAAAAACATCAATCCTGGCATTTTATTCTCCCATTAGAAAATGTTACTAGGTATATCAAACAGTTAATGCCATTATTGTTTCTAATACACCAGTGAGTACTAGTGCAGGACACAACTATAAGGCCCACATGTGTCAGCTTGGAAGAAGAGCAGCCATTTACAAGCAACAGGGCTCATACTTTTAGTACCTTGTGGGCTGGTTTCATGCACCAGCCAACAGAAGCCATATCATAGAGAGGTAAGAAAATGTCTGCCCAGACCTCTAAGAGAATTTTATTCCCAGTTAGATCACCATCAAACCATTTTCACAATAGCATCTGCCACTGAAGCACCGCTACTTAGTCAGTCCCCCTTTCAGCAAGGGAGGAAGATGTGACAGCAAAGATGGAATTCTTTTACAAAATGGCCAAAAAGTCCCGATAAGGATTGCAGCACTTTGTGGCCTACACCATGCTTGTCACACGGCAGGGAGAGGGGATCTACATATCATGGCATGTTGCAATAGCTGAGGAAATGTCTTTCTCTTCTTGCTTCCTCTCCACCCTTGTTCACGCAGTTAAGGTAACATGGGAAAGTAGCTGTAGCTTTTAGGATACCACATATGGGGAGCCAGGATAGCAGTGGCATTGCTCCTTCACTGTGTTCTATAGCCCCAGTTGCTGTTTGGTTACTTTAATGTTTCCTCTGTAAGTATCACTTCTCTAGCCATTGTGAGTAGCATAAAGCAAATTCATGAAAGGTCTTGAATGCTTTGGATAGTATTGTAACAGGCGCCATGCAACAGACAATGCAGTCAAGGATCTACTGAAGCAAATGGTTCTGCCTTGAGAGAAGACGGGAAGAATTGGGAAAAGTGACTTAACTTGTGGAGAGGGATTCATAACTTTGTGAAAGTCTATGGACTGATTATTCCAACACTTCAATGAAGTTTACCACTCTGCACACTACAACCTCCAAGCGGAAAAGCAGGGCTCTTCCAGGGATGAGTTTAACAGGCTGAAATGTCCATAGAGTCTGCATTTGGTCTTACAGAGATGTCAGGACAGATAGAGCCCAACTGCCTAAGATTTGAGCAACTTTCTTGGAATTGTCCATTATTCTTCCAAGAATATGGAGAGGGAAAAGGAGGTTGCATGGTTGGGTATTACTGCAGTTCCTCAGTGAGGACAGAAGCATGTGGCATGGGAGGCTTAGAGAGAGTTCTCTGAAAAGAAAAAGCAGTGTGTTTCAACTGAGACACCCACCTTCTGCTCTAGGATGATGTACTGACAATGCCAGAGTGCAACAGGCTGCTCTGCTGGTTCCCTGAAGGCAGGAAAGCCTGGCTGTGGATAGCAGATGTTCCATCTCCTCTCTTCCACCTCCTTCCAAACAAAGCAGGGCCTACAGCACTGAAGGGGACTGCTGCTTGTAGCAATAACCCACCTGCTATGATAGCCTCATCTATCTGAAGACCCATAGAGCATTACTTAGGCTACATGCCCACCACAGCATCTGCCCACTCCTTATACTACAAGGGCACTAGAAACACCAAGCATACTGGTCCAAAAGCGATTTTCATTCTATCTCAAACTGCAACAATGCCAGCAAAATGTCCACCCTCCTAAATGCACTCAGATCAGCAGTTAACCAAAAACACTTGGAATCTGAAGGGCCAGCAAGGAAACAGGGTATCAATTCTGACAACCTGCATTTTAGCAGTCAGAGATAAAAGGAAGGTTATAGAAAGAAAGTGAAACACTTCAGCATACATACTTATTTTGGGGACAGGGGAGCAGTCAACAGAGAGTTTGTGGGTCAGGGTTAAAGGAAGAACAGCAATGGGAAACATTACTGTGGGGATCTGTTACAGACTGCCTGATCAAGAGGAATCTGTGGATGAAGCACTCTGCAGACAGACAGGAACAGCCTCATGCTCGCAGGCCCTTGTTCTCATGGAGAACTTCAACCACCCTGGTATCTGTTGAAGGGATGGTACGGCCCAGCACAAGCAATCCAGGAGGTTCCTCGATTGTGTGGAAGACAACTTTCTTCTGCAATAGAGGAGCCAACAAGGAGAGGTGCCATGCTTGACCTCGTGCTCACCAACAGGGAAGGGCTTGTTGGAAATGTGACGCTCCAGGGCAGCCTTGGTTGCAGCGATCATAAGATGCTCGAATTTGAGATCCTCAGGACAGTGAGAAGAGCGTGCAGCAAGCTCACTGCCCTGGACTTCAAGAGAGCAGACTTTGGCCTCTTCAGGAACCTGCTTAGTAAGGTTCCATAGGATACAGCCCTAGAGGGCAAGGGGCCCAAGACTGTTGTTTGGCATTCAAGGATCACCTGCTACAAGCTCAGGAGTGTTGCATCCCAGCGAGGAGGAAGTGCAGCAGGAGGGCCAGGAGACCTCCTTGGGTAGATAAGGAGCTGCTGAGGAAACTTTGAAGGAAAACGAGGCTTATGAAAGGTGGAAGCAAGGAAAGGCGGCCTGGGGAGAATACAGTGATGCTGTCCGGGAAGCTAGCTTAGGAAAGCTAAAGCCCAGTTAGAACTAAACTTGGCTAGGGATGTTAAGGATGACAGGAAGGGATTCTATAGGTATGTAGCGAATAAAAGACAGACTAGGGACAACACAGGCGCCCTCTGGAAGCTATCAGGAGAACTGGCTACCCTGGATTTGGAGAAGGCTGAGGTTCTTAATGACTTCTTTGCCTCGGTCTTCACTGGCAAAGGCTCTGATCACACCACCCAAGTCTTGGAAGGCAGACACAGGGACTGTGAGAATGAAGACCTTGCGCCCACTGTAGGAGAGGATCTGGTTTGAGATCATCTTAAGAACCTGAAGGTGCACAAGTCCATGGGTCCTGATGAAATCCATCCGTGGGTCCTGAAGGAGCTGGCAAATGAAGTTGCTAAGCCACTGTCCATCATATTTGAAAAAACATGGCAGTCAGGTGAAGTTCCTGACGACTGGAAAAAGGGAAATATAACCCCCATTTTCAAGAAGGGGAAAATGGATGACCCGCGGAATTACAGACCAGTCAGTCTCACCTCTGTGCCTGGCAAAATCTTGGAGCGGATTCTCCTGGAAGGCATGCTAAGGCACATGAAAATCAACAAGGTGCTTGGTGACAGACAGCATGGCTTCACTAAGGGGAAATCCTGCCTGACCAATTTGGTGGCCTTCTATGATGGGGCTACAGAACTGATGGACAGGGGTAGAGCAGTTGATGTCATCTACCTGGACTTGTGTAAAGCATTCGACACTGTCCCGCATGACATCCTTGTCTCTAAATTGGAGAGACATCAATTTGATGGATGGACCACTCGATGGATAAAGAACTGGCTGGATGGCTGCACACGAAGAGTTGTGGTCAATGGCTCTATGTCCAGCTGGAGACCAGTAACGAGTGGTGTCCCTCAGGGATCAGTGTTGCGACCGGTCTTGTTTAACGTCTTTGTCGCTGACATGGACAGTGGGATTGAGTGTGCCCTCAGCAAGTTTGCCAATGACACCAAGCTGTGTGGTTCAGTTGATATGCTGGAGGGAAGGAATGCTATCCAGAGGGACCTCGACACGCTTGTGAGGTGGGCTGATGCCAACCTCATGAAGTTTAACCATGCCAAGTGCAAGGTCTTACACCTGGGTCGGAGCAATCCCAGGCACAGCTACAGGTTGGGCAGAGAAGAGATACAGAGCAGCCCTGTGGAGAAGAACTTGGGGGTGTTGGTTGATGAGAAAATGAACATGAGCCGGCTTCAGTGTGTGCTTGCAGCCCAGAAAGCCAACTGTATCCTGGGCTGCATCAAAAGGAGCATGACCAGCAGGTTGAAGGAGGTGATCCTGCCCCTTTACTCTGCTCTCGTGAGACCTCACCTGGAGTATTGTGTGCAGTTCTGGTGTCCTCAACATAAAAAGGACATGGAACTGTTGGAACAAGTCCAGAGAAGGGCCACGAGGATGATCAGGGGACTGGAGCACCTCCCGTATGAAGACAGGCTGAGGAAGTTGGGGCTGTTCAGCCTGGAGAAGAGAAGACTGCGTGGAGACCTCATAGCAGCCTTCCAGTATCTGAAGGGGGCCTATAGGGATGCTGGGGAGGGACTCTTCATTAGAGACTGTAGTGACAGGACAAGGGGTAAAGGGTTAAAACTCAAACAGGGGAAGTTTAGGTTGGATATAAGAAGGAAATTCTTTCCTGTTAGGGTGGTGAGGCACTAGAATAGTTTGCCCAGGGAGGTTGTGAATGCTCCATCCCTGGCAGTGTTCAAGGCCAGATTGGACGAGGCCTTGAGTGATACGGTTTAGTGTAAGGTGTCCCTGCCCACGGCAGGGGGGTTGGAACTAGATGATCTTAAGGTCCTTTCCAACCCTAATGATTCTATGATTCTATAATTCTAAGTCCAACCTGACTAACAACACAAGGGAAAAGGAAAGGGAAGACACAGTAAAAATGTCTTTCAGATCTAGCATTTCACAACTGTAATCCAGTTCTAGTGCTTTCCAGGCTGGCAGATCCACCTAACCCCATCTACCACAACTGCCTATCCAAGCCTCATCACATCTCCAAACACGAAGTCAGCTTTGTCCACTGAACCTGCAGAACACAGCCTATGCAAAAGACTGTATCTGAGCACAAAATGAAATTGAATTTACGTTCAAGGAATCAACACAAGAAGCAAGAACAAAAGGCTTCCACGCTTTGTGCTTTCCATAGTAACAGCTTAATTTATGAGCTTACCTGTAGCTGCCATACAGTTTGGAGTTCACTGAAGATTCATAGCTGTCCACACATTTCCATCACAGGGGTTCTGTTGTCTTCTTTCTGGGAGCAACAAAAGACAGAGGCCATTGGAGGACTTTATTGAACACACATTTCAGCCTTTTAATTAAAGAACAGGGGGAGAGAGCAGAACAAGAGGAAACAAAGCCAGACTTAAATCACTTAATAATATCTAAGGCCATGTGTCCACACCTTTGCACATGTAAGAGCAGTATAAAGATGCCATACTAACTGTAAATGGTGGCCAAATCAATAGTCTACATAGACCTACAATAGGCAAATTCTGAAGGAATTCTGAAGGAAGGTATACAATAGACCTACATAGGCAAATTCTGAAGGAACTGGGCTGCTTGGCCCAAATATCTTGTTGACCTGCTAAAACAGCTGATACTCAAGACCACAATGACATGAAAAATACTCTGATTTAATTTGGATTTAGCCTTGATAATAGGCTGATTTAATTTGGATTTGGCCTTGGTAACACCAAGCACCTTTAACACCAGCACCACAGGACATAAGAAAACTTACACAATTAAGCAAGCAATGAAACATATTCCTGTCTTTTTTTCTTTTTTTTTTTTTTTTTAAGTACCTTTTTTATGCTGGCATGAGAAGCCCTGAAATGGGTGTTCTTAGCATTTATTTTACATGGTTTTAAGCTTAGGATTTTCCTGCACTAAAAGTGGCAAGTCTTGTCCACTGAGGCTGCTGCAGACCACTGAGGAGCTAGTGATAGCAGAGTTTTGCAAGGCACAGCACCGTGCTCCAAGGCTGGAACTTACTGCCCAGTAGTCTCTCCAGAGACTACCATGGCCTTTCCAGGGCAGAAATTGACACCTATTTTGCTTATGTGCAAGTTTGGAAGTCTTTTTTCCACCCTTCTGCAAGTGAACTTACAATCAAAAACACAGTCTATGCTATTTTTATCTATATTCAACCCAGCACCTTTACATTAAGGTCCCTGTTAACAGAAGCATTGGTGAACACCACCTCATCCCAATGGTCTGCTTGAAGTGGCTGGGTGGGGAGCAACACTTCCTCAGCTCCTCCACAGGGCAGACATGGAAGGAGGACAGCCAAAAGCACATTAGGAGAACTGAATTTAGATCTTATTTAGACTTTAAAGCAAACATTTTCAGAAAGGAGAGCAGGGGAGAGTCACATCTACATACACTACCTGGCCACCAGCCACGCCAGTGCAACCATGCCCACAAGGCAAAGGCTTGCCTGACCATATCCACGCCATGCTCTAAGCCACGACAGTAACCCAGGAAAGCCACAGCCCAGCTGCCGCCTCCTCAGCCCCTCAGGGTAAGCGTGCCCTGCCCACAGCCCTGCCTGCTGAGAGGATCCTGTCACAGAGCAGGAGAGGTGGTGCCCCATGGCTGAAGGGCAGGAGGCCCAGAGCCTGCCCACTGTGGGGCTGATCTTCCCCTGGGCACCGGAAGTGGGCATGTGAAAAGGCAGAGCATTTTCCCCTAGAAGAGGAGCTAACTTGTCTGCACATGCCTGAGGGAGTAAAATAATCCCCGTGGTTACTGGGGAAGGGGCACTCGCCCCAAATACACAGGAGGGCTTGCTAGGAACATCTCAACCCCAGGTGAACACTGATGGGGTGGGAAATGTATGGGACTTGCAAAACATGAAGGTCTGGTCTCCCATGTGTGAGGCCCCTTTCCCTCCTGGCTGCTTGAACCATGGGGAAAAACAGGTCCATTTAAGATAAGCAGCAGCACTCAAGCTGTGATGGTGTTGCTGGTACGTCCCGTGTGGTACTACAGAGAACAGTGGCAAGAAAAGGGAATTGAAAGCCTTAGAGGGGCTCTGGAAAACCACCTTCTCCGCAGGCTGGCAGCTGGACAGGTGCTCACTCACCCTTGCACAATCACTTTCTGTAGCCAAAAGCACCCAGAAAGTGCAACAGGCAGTATACGGGGGTCAAGTGAGCATGGAGGTGTGAGGTCACCGGGCGGAGGAGGGAACCAAGACCTCTCCCCTTGTCCATAACCCCCTCAGACACATGGCTATACCCTATACTCCCTGCTAGCACTGGGTCACTGCTCAGAGCTTCCTCTCTGCAGGCTGACAGGGCCAGAGGCAATGGCCAGTCTTCTTTAGCGACATTCCCATCCCTAAGTAAGTTTTCACCATGGAGACCGCCTCTCTCTTTCATCTCTCATCCCAAGAGAAACGACATTGCGGGGCTCCAGTTCCTGCCTGTTAGCTCAAACCAAAAGGAATAACTATAAACTAAGAATAAATACTAATTAACCTGAATCTTTTTTCGTATCGTGATCTGAACCAGACGCTATATCTATCTTTAACGTAAGGCTGCTTTGAGATGCACCCTCTATCTGCAGCAGGCAAAAATAAGATTCTTGCTTTTGAGAAAGTTAATTGTGGGCCTCAACAAGTCACATTTCTTGGCAATACTTATCTTGAAATGCTGTGAACTCACAAGGGATTGAGAGGCCATATATTTTGAGTGCCTCCAATACAGCGAGTTTTGTGATCGAGGAGCATTTAATCCAGCAACTTTCCCACATCCTGCTGGAAAAAGAGGTGAGTTATTTCTCATAGTGGACAGTGGACAGCTTTTGAGGTGCGCACAAGTGTTGAATAAAGGCTGTCCCACAAAATTCAGTCAAAGGCTGCACAGAAGCACAGCTGAGATTTAGCCCCACCAGTGCAGGGGAGAGTGGGGTGGAAGGCATACACTATTCCCTGTTGAGCTGGTTAAAGTCTATATTTGGCTTTATATGGGTTCTAGTATCAGAGAGAGAAAAATAGAACAGGGTTAAAAATGAAGATTTATTTCCTCAAGTATTTCAATTTTTTTCAAAGCTGCTTTGTTTTGATTTTTTTTTTTTTGTTTGAAAGTAAACAGTGTACAGCTGTGAAGAGCTGAGCCAACAATAACAGTTACCTCTGCTCTCCTAGAAAAAAGCCCACAAGTCTAGGCTGAAGGAAAGAATGGCAGCACCATCACCCCAGGAGAGCCTGAACAGCTATTTGGTAGCCAAAACCACTGAGGATTAAGTATCATTCCACCTTCTTGGCAAGTCCAACTACCATCTATCTCCTCTCTGTCTTGCAAAGTGGCGGTGTTTCCTAAGGTAGTAAGGTATTAAGCATGCAGAGAAAACCTTATGGGACAACCAGAAGTTACTTCATTCTTGCCAAATCTGATGAGAATTATATACCAAAGTTTTTGAGAATCCTGCTAAATTTAATGACTAAATTTTTCTTAAGTCCTCTATTTAAGGTGTTGGCTGGCTGTAAATCTCCAAAGGTACCTAGTCAGCAGGAAGCACTAGCCAGAGTTTAAGCTACGTGAACAGAGTCCCAGGTGCTCATGTGTATTTTAGGCGCATAAACCAACCTTCAAAAGCCTGGTCAAGAGTCCTTTCCTTGAACTGAAAGCTCATATTCTTAGATGAGTCCCACAACCAAAACTCCCATTGTAACAAATGCACAGGCATCTCCTTTCCTGGATGTGGGTGGTTTTGATGCCTGTGCTAGTTATAAGAAGCAATGTCCTGGAGAATGTGAAATTTAGGAAGATGAGTAATGTACAAAGTGTGGAGGCAGTGAGAGATGATCCACATATTATGTGCTTTTATTTAATAATTTATAAATAAATATGTGCTTTCCCAAACTGCCCCTCAGCCTAGCAATTATATGTTGCCTGATTTCTTGTTAGTGCTGTTCTTTTAGAATAACAAACTGTTCCCAAAGCCTCACATACACAGCTAGACAATCAAAGTACTGTGTGCGATTTTCTACTTAGTTCATTCAGTTAGCTGCAAATAAAACAATACAACTAAAAGCCTTGTATGTTTCTCTGAAAAAATACAAAACTTTAGTTGTTATTATTAATATATACAACCTACAAGAAAGAGTAACAAAGCCCCTTTGTCTTCCCTGTTGTAGTAATTTTCTTATCCTTTTCTGTAGATGCCCTGGCAGTCATCAATATTTCTTTCAGTCACTGTTCTTCAAAAGACACACACTTTTCATTCAACTGCACAGAATGGAAAGGAATTCAGTGGGCCAGATTTCCTTGGTGATCAGACCCACTTTAGCCGCCCAGGGAGGACTCAAGGTGAAGATGCAGCAGTCTCATCAAGAAGAGAATTGAACCTATTTAGAAGGGAAGAGGTCAACATTTTAGCAGGCAGTAATGATATTTCTGTTCAGATTTTACCTAGATATTTTACCTAAATATTTCATATTTCTGGAAAAGCAGCATCTTCATGGCTACTGATATGTGCTCACCCACTTAATATAAATGGCATACCAAGTTTTAGTGGAACTATAGAGCCATTCCTTTTATGGTTTATGGGGCTTCACTAATGAAACCTGATGATAATCTAATCAATATTATACCAGTTCCACAGGTGGAAAAGAGAATAGAGGCTGTACCTTGCCCCACAAGAAAGTGATAAGCCGTCCTAAGAGAGCAGCTGTGACTATCTCCCATTCCACTAAGCTCCTCCAGTAACTGCACAGATTTCTATCAGCCAAGAGCACACTCAGAGTGTGCAGTGCTCAGCAGCATCATCCCTGCAGTCTGAGAATGCACTGTGTTTGTCCAAGTCTTACAACGTTTCCAGAGCTTTTATGAGAAGGGTACATGTCAACACTGTCCCAGGTAGAAGACTTGCTACTATTCGGTATGTTAATTCATTATTTCAGCTCTAATTTTTGACAGAGGCTTTGATTCAGCCTACTCCTGCAAGAGAATAACAAACTGCTGATTTGGATCTGCAGACTTAATTATTATCCCACCAACATAAATAAGAATTTCATTTAAGTTCAGTTCCTGAAGAAAAAATGATTGTGCCTACTTTGATAAGATGGTATGAAATCTATCCAAACATTTATCAAATTATGTGAAATCTTACTGAAAGAATATGTTCTGAGATTTTGTGAATAAAATCCCCCAGGAAGCAATAACACCAAAATGTATGTCAGAGCAGAGACTCACGAAGTTTGGTCCAAGGGGAATTCATAGCTCATCTAGTGTTCACCTTTATTCTTTTATCCCAGTACACAACAGTACAAAAAGGGGATGGCAAAGTAAAGAACCAAAACCAGCATTTCTTTTCCAGAAAGGCAGAACTCTCTGCCAAACCCAGCTCCAATTACAGAAACAATTTCCGTTATTTTCCTTCCTTTCAGTTACTGTAGTTCTGCAAAGATATTACACAGTAAAGAATGGCAAGAAAGACAATTCACAAAAAAAGATACTTATTCCAAAGTTATTATTATTAAAAGAAATGCTAATACCATTCTCCTGGCATATGACTTTATGCTTGAAGAATCTTGCAGTTTGCATATAATCTGGGTGAAAGAAACCTGGTTGAAAGACCACACATCCAACTATTGATAAATATTTCCAGCAAATCTAATGAAAAAAGGCCCCCAACCATCTCTGTTTGGCACATTTTTTCCAAACGTGTTTTCTTAGCTTAGGTCACTGTGATGGAGATAACACTAGGCAGATAGCAACTATATGTCTTCTGTAACAAAAATACTTCTCATAAGACATTTCAGGGAAATTGGATTACTAACAAACTTTTTATAAAGTTAAACTTATTATCAATGGATACCAAGGATCATGTTATTACAGTAACCTATATATAGTAAGGCACTGTCCATGAAATCAAAGAGATATTTCATATCACTTTAATATACTGACATTATCAAACAACCTACTGATAACATTTTCATTATCATTTACACTTAACCTTCTTTATGCTTTCAAGTGCCCTTATGTTCTATACCTGAAAACATGCAATTTAGCTCCACAGAATAACTCCAAAAATCACATCAAGGAAGTTCTTTATTGGTTTCACTCAATGACTTCCAGACTAAATCTGCTCTTCTATAAACACAGTAAAGGCTTTCTGTAAACATCTAGTCTAAAAACACACGGTTGAAGTTAGTAGATCTTTTCAATCCAGCAACAAAGGACCATGCAACTGGAACACAGCTAATGACTCTGATAATGACACACATGCTGGAACAAAAATCAGTGATGAGACACTCAGTATGAGAAGAATAAAACCATATTAAAAAATTAAAAGAAGATTGTGGAGCGCACAAAAGGAGTACATTTGAATGTGAAAGTACCTGCCTTTTACCTACTCACCTTTCAGACATTTGGCTTCACTAAACTCCCAAGTAGCAATGCAAAAATAAGCATAAATGTCAGAATGCCAAGGTAAGGAAGAGGCAGACATTGTAAATCTGTTCACAGTAGTATTCCAGATTGGTGCTAAAATGAGAGTTATGAGCTACATTCATTTCAAGCAAATGTAAGAATATCTACACTCAGTTCAGTCCTTCTTTAGACATCATCTACTCGGGAAGAAAGGAAGAAATTATAGCTTCTGTAGAACAGCAGTGAAAGTGACAAAAAGTGACAGAAAGTGAAAGCAAACAAACTCTAGTGCCTTATTCAGTTCAAGTGAAGGAGAGTTACACATGTGAATCCCTGAGGGTGACATTCTATCCAGCCTAACATGGCTGTGTTTACCCACACTGCAGGCTCCCAGATCAAAACAGTTGCCTCAAGCCTCCAGAAGAAAAATGGTTTCACAATATACGGTTATAAATAGAGGTTGGGCGGACAAACCACCTCTCCTTGTAAAAAAAGCTTTCTTACTTAAAAGTTTGCTGGCAGCCGTGATCTATACCAGTCACATCAGAAGAGCGGTAGAAAGCTAACAGTGACATTTCAGGCCCATGCATCTTGAATAGTTTCTCTTGTGAATAGATAAATATTCTCCACGCCTCCTAGAACAGGGAAACAAAGAAGAGCAAAAGAAGCCCTAGAGTCCTCCAAAGTTTCTGGAGAATCTCAGCATTTCCATCTAGCTTTCCATTAAAGTATTTCTATCCTTGGTTATTGATACTAAATAAAGCCATGAATACACTGAATAGTAACAAATCAGCAGCAGCTAATAAAATTAAAGTAAGCTAGACAAATTGCTATATAGAACAAAGTAGATTCTTCCCTCAAGCAGCAACGACAAGAGCAGAAAGAAAATCAGCAGATGTGTGGTGCAGACCATCAGCTGGGAAGAACTGGCAGTTGTGTAAATTCTGTGGTTTGGTCCTGGAGATGGTGGCTTCAACCCCAGGTCCCAATTCCTTACCACAAACCACCAGAGATCTCTCTGAGTAAATGCAAGGCCTGCTCCTTCTCAGCAAGGCTCCATCAAGCTTAAATACAATCCATGCAAAAAGCCTCCAGCTTAAGCATCCTGCCATAGGCATGGTTGTTCAACACACCAATATGCAGACAGGAATTGGCTGGAGTGTAACATAGCTGAGAATGAGACCCATTCAGTGTGACAACCAGAGAAAATCCCCTGACCACCTCCCATCAGTTCAGGCTGCCCGTCTTGTTGGACAGCCTGTCGGGAACACAACTCATCTGCCTTCTTTGAATCAGACACAGAGAACTGCAGATTGCTTAATATTGCCTGTATTCCAGGAGCATCCTGGATACCGTAATCATGCTAATCAGGTACTGGAACAGGCTTTCCAGGAAAGTGCTACTCAGGTATTGGAAGAGGCTTCCCAGGAAAGTGGTGGAATCACCATCCCTGGAAGTGTTCAAAAACTGTATAGATGAGATCCTCAATGATATGGTTTAGTGGTGGACTTGGCAGTTCTGGGGTAATGGTTGGACTTGATGATCATAATAAAGTCTTTTCCAACCTAGATGATTATATGGTTCTATGATCATGGCCCTTGGCCATGCTCTGCTAGGCACTTTCCACACACTAGGCAATGGGCAGCCTCTGCATGCTAGGGCTACTCTAAGGAAGGCCCATCCACTTCCAGCAGTACTTGAAGAGCAGCAGCTTTTGAACCACTCCATGCTCAAGGATGCCCTTCCCAGCATCTGAACAAAGCTAACAGCCTCTGTTTCTGAACACTGGGAATAAAGCAAACCTGTATGAGCACCAGTAGCCAAAACTACCCAACCTGTTGACAGTGGAGCTAGACAGATGAAAGCCACATGTGGGTGAAAGCAGGGCAGCCCCTGCTTTGCGTTTTGGTACAGATGTACACAAAGAAAGGAGTGAGGGCAGAGCGGAGACAGTGGAACCTTGGAGAGGGTGTCTGTTACTTGAAATCACTCTAAAGCACGTTATAGATCTGTTAAATCATTGTGGCTTACCCTGTATTTCAGAGTAAATTAGTAACTTTTCAGAGGGAGTGAAGAAAATACCACTCCAATTTTAAATAATGAAAATGCTAAAAAACCTACACTTAACAGCTCTAAAACTGCAGCAAGTCACCCACCAACACCCACCCCTCTTGTCAGCAGGCTTTTTTCAGCTTTGCCTATTATTTGTGTCGAGCCAGAGATGCTTAATGTTTGCTGTGCTTATCTGCTCAACTTTCAGGAGCCACAGATGTTATAATATGTACCTGTGCCACTGACCTCTTTCCCCATAGCATTTTGATCAAATAAGTAACAAACACGGAGTTTCCAAAATCATTTGGATTCACTGGCTCTGAGTGCATAGCTGTAAAAAATCTGCTTTAAGATTAACATCCAATTTTATTCATGCCTCAGGCTTCACCACAGCATCTATTTTTGTAAGATTAACAGCAAGATCCCAGTTCTCCAGAAATGTAAAGAGTAACAGCCAATTGTAAAAGGAAGATGATGTTTCCTAACCTACCCTTGCTCACATCCAGGAAGGTACATTTTCCTCGCCTTTTCCCTGGTGGGTGTAATTTCTATTTGCATTTTTGCACCCACAACATGCAGCATGTATATTAGTCCTTCTGCCTCCCATTAGCTGAAATGCATTTCTGATGAAACTGTGGTTGCCAAAAAATACTAACTTGTGCAAAGTGTACCCTGAAAGACAGCTTTTACTCTGGAGGAGTTAAGAAACAGCCATCTTCCTCTATCTTGCACAACAGCTTTTTGAATCATCTAACTTGATAATACAAGTATAGAAAATGAGCACTTGATATTTCAGCTAATCCATTTGAAAGAATATACATGAAAACACTTATTTTTTGAACATGGCAATTGGAGGACAAATTGAGGGTCATTTCTAACCTAAACAGCAGAAGAAAAGTTGCTTTAGGTAGTGCCTTTGGTC